CAGGTTCAGAGTCAGCCGACAGCTAGCATGGGGGATGCACAAGTTGGCTCTTCTGGAGACGTAGGGAAAGGAGCATGGAGTAGATTGTGTGTCAGTTGGTATCGTCTGCTATTTTCTTGCAGACATTGTATGATAGTACATTGATGTTATTTCACGCCGCGTTGTGTTTGCTGTCATGGGATGTATGTTGTTCATCAAGCACGCAGTATGTACTGGGCCATGGCATGGTGTTGAATGATTGTATTCTAAAAGAAAAACGCCGATCCTCATACTTGTACAAATCAATGCATACATGACGCGCTACATACTTGTCAAAGCCACACAAACGGCATTAACGACGACTCTCACGACTCAATCTTGGGCTTCGCATCATTGACCTTGACCCACTCGCCATTGAAGGCATTGATCAACCAGTTGCTCAGCTCTGTAGGCGTGTTAGCGATCGCGCGGGTCTGACAAGTGCCAGAGGCAAAAAAAGGAGAGGTCAAAGGGGAAGGCGGCGACGTACTATCGTACACGATGCGGTTCGCATTGTGAAAGTAGATGCTGTGATCGCTGTCGGGGAAGACGTGGACGTCGTAGTTCTCGACGCCGGCGAGGTCGAGCTCGTCGAGGAGCGTCAGGGTGTTCTGCATGTGGACATTGTCGTCGGCGACGCCGTGCATGACGAGGAAGCGCTCGTTGGCGCCGAGGGCGGTCGTGTTGCTGATGGCCGTCTGCTGGTAGCCGTCGCGGTTGAGGTCCGGGGTGCGCATGTAGCGCTCGGTGTAGATGCTGTCGTAGAAGCGCCAGTCGGTGACGGGGGCGACGGCCATGCCGTAGCGGAAGGTGCGGCCGGCGTCCGTCTCGAGCGTCTTGAGCGTCGCGAAGCCGCCGTAGCTCCAGCCCCAGATGGCGAGGCGGTCGGCGTCGACGTAGCGCTTGGCCGCCCAGTGGCGCGCCGCGGCGATCTGGTCGTGCGCCTCCCACCGTCCGAGCTGGTCGCGGATGAGGACGCGCGCCTTGCGGCCGATGAAGCCCGTGCCGCGGCCGTCGACGGTGACGACGACGTAGCCGAGGGCCGAGGCGACGTACGACTGGAAGTCGACGGCGAACTTCTTGGTGACGGTCTGCGAGCCGGGGCCCGAGTACTGCTGGAAGAGGACGGGGTACTTCTTGTTCTTGTCAAAGTGCGGGGGCCGGCGCTCTACAAAGTTGAGCTCAACGTCGTCGACCTTGATTGTGCCGTACTCGAGCACCGGGAGCTCGTGCTTCTTGGCCTGCTGGGTGAGGTCCTTGTTCTCCTCGATGATGCGTTCGTACGACTTGGGGTTCGAGGGCGTGCTGACGACCTTCTGCCAGGGCACCTTGGGGCCCTGGTATGAGAGGAGGCCGAAGCCGGCGCCCGAGGAGAAGGACACGTCGTAATAGCTCTCATGGGTCGTGTCGGTGAAAGGTTTCATGTCGGTGCCGTTGAGGTGCACGCTGTAAATGTGACGCTGAATGGACGACTCCTTGGTCGAGCGGAAGTAGACGAGGTTGTTCTTGAGATCGACCGCGCTCGCACTGCCGTCGACTTCCCAGCCAGGACCTTCGGTGATGTAGACGGGGTTTGGGTTGTCCATCGGCGTGAAGTAGGCCAGGTGATCGCCATCATTGTGAATGACAGTATCCACGTAGCCATCGTGCGGACGGCCGTTCTTGGGGTCCGCGGGGATGTACATCACATGCGAGATCTCAAACCAGCCACCATCAATCTTGGCCACGTCTACGTGCTGTACCGTCTTGCCAGTACGGGCCACGACGTCGATGAGGTTGACCTGCAACACATCGCTGACGCGGTTCGTGGTCTTGACGAGGACGTTGCCGTCGGCCCACATGACAAAGTTGATGAGCTTGTCCTTCTCGGGAAAGTCACCGTCAATGTCGACAGTGAAGACGTCACCCTTTTCGACGTCGTAAAAGAGGAGATCGACGACAGGGTTCGGGCTGCCGACCTTGGGATACTTGATCTGCCTGACCTCGGGGTAGTTCTCCTCGCCGACTTCAGGCTCGGCGCCGCTGGGGCGCGAGACGAAGTACTGGATCGGGTACTCAGGGACCTCGGTCTCGTTGGTTCGCAGGAACGCAACGTGCTTGCCGTCAGCAGACCACCACGTGGCGCTGTTGCCGCTGAAGACCTCCTCTTCATAGACCCAGTCGGGGATACCATAGAAGTACTCGGGGCCTCCGTCGGTGGTGATGGGGGTGACCTTGTCGTCAGCGAGCTTCCTGAGGAACAGGTTGTTGCTCCTCGTGAAGACGATGGCGTCGCTCTGGGCGTTCCACGTCGCCAGCTGGACCCTCTCCTCGGGGTGGGCGGGATCGAGAGGCTCGGCAGACTGCGACTCGACGTCAAAGACCCAGTAGAGCGCGGTGAACGAGTGGCGCCAGTTGCGCTGCTTCTGGGTGGCGACGAGGACCTTCTTCTGGTTCTTGCTGGGCCAGGTCTGGAGGATGCTGTGCTGCTGGTCGCCCCAGTAGAACCACGGGTCCTTGATCAGGGTGCGGCTCTCGGCGGCGTCGGGGTGCGCCTCGCCGTCAGCCGAGCCCTGGGACCGGACGTCCTCGACGACGAGAAAGTGCTTGCCACGCGCCTCCTGCTCGAGCAGCAGCCCGTCCTCGCCGTCGGGCCCGGGGATCCAGCTGAATGTATGGGACGTGGGTCGCCAGAAGCCCGATTGGACCTGGTCGAGGGTCACGCGCTTGCCCGACTTGCGGTTCGTCGCCGCAGGATCATGGTCAATCTGGCTGCCGTGCTTGTACGATTTGTTGGTCAGGAAGACGACGAGCGAGACGATCCAGGCGGCGACGAAGAAGCCGCCGACGATGAGGAGGACCTTTTTGAGCTGGCGGTCGACGCCTTTGCGCGGCGGTGTGGTCTCTGATGAGGCTCCTAGAAAGGGGCCCGTCTCGGGGTCGTTGATGTCGGACTCTTTGATGGCATCGCTGTTGTCGTCGGTGTAGGCGTGTCGGGCAGCGGAGGGATGCGGTCGGGACGAGGCGTCGTGGTTCTTCTCGGACTCCTCGGCGAGGCGGTCGAAGACGAGGCTCGTCGTGGAGGCGCTCGAGATGGAGGCGCTCGAGATGGAGGATTCGCGAGAGTGACGGCGGTCCAGTGTATCTTGTATGGGTTTCGGCTCAGACATGGTTGCGACGCTGAGGTTGGCGCGATTCGAGGTGCATGCGTGACCGCGGCGAAGGGTGAGGTGCGGCGAAGGGTGAGGCAAGTGACTAGGTGGAAAGAAAGGGAGGGGCCGCGCAAATCAGGTCTCAGATTCAGCGATGTCGCGTAGATGCATTGCGGTCCAAGGCAGATACACGCCGATCAGCCTTTCTACAAGTTTGCCGCAGGCGTCTATACAGGTAAGGTCAGATATAGGCAGGTGAGGGGCTGTCTTTGTCGGATGCTTCCAATCCGGGGTATCAATAACTCTTGGGCTGGTATGTGGGGATTGGAGCCGCTGTTCCCCAGCAGCATCTAAACTCCACACCAGATCCGCCTGCATCAGACGCACCATCACAGCACCGTGACTCGTTCATCCAAGGTAAGAATAAAAGGGACATGGCCATCACATGTATACATCTAGGCTTCCTAAAAGCTGCGTCGCCTAATGCCCGCCCCCGTTCCACCATCGATAGGCTTCCCCGCGCTCTGAGAGCCACCCGTCGTAGTATTCCCATGCTTCAAGGCTCTCAACCCATGTTCCTGGCATCAGCTCCAGCGGCCCCTCCACCAACCGCCAGAAATCTTCCGCGAACGCTTCAACTCCAAGATCGACTGTTAAAGCCCAGTCATCCGCCCGAGGCCCGTGGCAAAAGTCTATCGGGTATGAGCCAGTAGCCAGCAGTCTTCGTCTCGTTGTCCCCTGACTGGCCCGCCAGATCGCATGTTCTCGAGCGCCGTAACCATCGAGACTGATCCCAGCTGCCGTCAATGTTTCCAGCCAGAACATGAGATACCTTGCCATGAAGGAATCTCGCCTCCTGCTGCGAAATGGGTGGATTGTTTGCAAGAAAGCCATCATCGCAGTCCACGTCCCGTGATGTGCGGCAGGCGCGGGTTTCCAAGCCGTCCCAACGAGCCATCCGGAAGCGTGAAGGTCCGCCTTGCATCGAATGATTTCCTCTACCAACACTTGCCACCCTTCCCTCTCCGGGTTCTCGTCTCTCAGAGAGAAGCTTTCGACATACGGCCGCCGCCAGCCGAACTGCCATGCAGCCAAGGATAGCAGCGGCCGGCCAGTTTGCTGCAATGCTTCTGCTGCCTGGATCGACTCAACGCTGCCTACCATGAAACAACGGCGGAAAACGCTGGAGGAAACAGGATAGTCGGCAAAGCCATGGGCGGCCAAGTCTAGCACACATTCTTGCCGTGTCTTTCCGGGATGACGCCAGCGGTAGTCCCTGAAGAACTTGTCAAACGCCGTCACGTCCCATCGCACCACGAGCGGGAATTTGGCGCCCTGAATGGGCTCGTCACGTTCCGCAACCCAGTCATCGAAGTCTATATGACGCATGCAAGCTTGAGCGAAAGCCTCCAACGATCGATAATCTGCTACAAATTTGATCTGTTTGTACAAAGAGATGATAGTCGAATCGACCTGAGGATAGAAATGCACCACCAGGAAGCTGAATATAGCAGGAAAGGCGTTTATATATGCAACCTTCAATTCATGATTTCATGTTACTGCTGAGCAAAGCGGGGGACAGTAGTCTACTCACTTGCAACAAAGAATGGCCAAACTGGTCAACAGAGAAGGGCGATGCGGCACGCGTCTCAAATAATCGTTGTAGGCCAAGGACATCATCGTGGTTGATACACTTGAAAACGTCCGATCGATAGTCCACGACTTGGTAGGTTCTCAACCCAAAGTCCCATCCGTTACTGGCATTGGAGAGACAGAAATCCCAGCATCTCCCAACGAGCCATTTTGGAGGGGCGATGGAGGCGCAGTAAGCTGCAAAACTTTAGCAACAACTTAACCCTCGATGGGGACGATCAAGAGACCGGGTACGCCATACATGAGACTGAGGTGAACGTTGATGACTTCTCACTCTTCGTCACCGAATACTTTCCCAGCACTGACAGTGCATATGGCGAGGACCATACAGTCGTCTGCGTCTTGCTTGTCCACTTTTGTGCCGGCTTGCGAGGACGAGCCCTCTGTAGGAGCACGACGCCTTCTTCGTCGACGACCTCGTCTTCTTCTTCCACTTCGACGACTTGAGGCGTCTCGCCCGCAGGCGGAAACAGGGCTGCCACGCGCGACATGATAACGTCAGGCTGAACTCTTACCAGCGCTCTGCTCATGTCAGCTACAGCTTTCCTAACAGGCCTTCTTCAAAAATCTTACTGTGTGTAAAGGCTCTGCGCGCTCTGCAAGAGAACTAGCGCCAGCTGTAATCTACGCTCGCATCGAGCGAGGGCTTCCTTCCCCAGATAGACTTTGGCTCGGGCACGGTATCGCTTTGAGCGCTTCGTCGCCGCGATCTCACTCGAGAGCTCCTCAACAAGCATCGCCAGTTCGTCTTTCGTCTGGCGGCAGTACTCAAGGCTCTTCAGCGCCGCGGGGTCATTTCGTAAGAGAGGCCAGGTCAAAGACGAGGTGCCGGCCGAGGAGGCGAGGTTGTCGTCCATCTCGCCGAGAATCGGCTCGACGACCGCCACCTGCTCCATCAGGCTGCGGATGGTATCTGACACCTCCTTGAGCTCATCAAACAGCTTCTTGAGCTTGAGGACGCGGCCGCCGAGACGACCGGCGACCTCAAGAAGAGCAATGCTGCCGGTGACAATGCCAAGGACCTCTGCCATTGTGGAAATGGGAAGTGACGTGACGAGTGCGTCAACCAGGGTTCGAAGAAACTCAGCTGACGAAGCAGAGAAGTACTGGGGTGTTTTGGTGAGAAAGGAAAGTCGCTCCGGCACCGACGCAGGTTCAATAGCAATGACAGAGACAATGTCGCCGCTGATAGTGATCCTGTTATTGATAGTTTGATCACAGATACCAACGAAATCAGGTCGCCTTGGATAAGAAATATAGTGTGGAGGACGACGGTAGAGGATCAGGCTCGGAGCCTGATGGGAGGGTGGTTATATTCAGGCCTCCAACGAATCCGCCTGCATAGCATCCTCTTCGTCATTGGGTCCCCGCTCCCTGATTCTCGTGCTGATCCAGCCTACTGCCAACTGGGTTATTCGGAAATCACAAGCGAGACGGTGCCGAGCATGAGCAACTGCTTTCCCGTAAAACGAGATAGAGGTCGGGAGTGGCACGACATATAGGTGAGGTTGAAGCAGGACACACGACTTTCCCGAATATACACCACGCCGTCTCGATACCGGTGACGCATGTTAAGCAGAACCCGGAGGTCCGGTTCCTCCACAATCGTGACAACTTTCCAGGGAATCAGCGCTGCAATCCAGTGGGCAAACGGACTCCGAATACCCAGCCCCAGGTGGCAACCAATGCCTATACTTCTGCATTTCCACCTCGGGAACAGGATACCAATAACTCTACATCTTCTCGCGATATTCGCGCCGCCTCGTTTCGCACTTGAGGTTGTCCTTGGGACATTCCCACCCGTGCTCTTCGATCTTGATGCGATCGAGACATTTTGTACAGCGCCACCACTTGGCAGACATCTTACGGCTGTCTAACCATGAATCTTCAATCTTTCCTCCTTTTTTATTGACGTCTTCCTTGTGCGTTTCCTGCAGGTGCAGCCGGAAACGGTCTTTGCGACTGAACCCTTCGGTGCGCCGGGGGCAGGCGGCATAGTCGCAGTGGAACATCTCCTTTTCTTTCGCATCCTTTCCATTAGTGCTGCCGTCCTGCGGCGGAGGGGAGCCAACAGCGCTGGCGGCTGCTGCTGGATTAGAGGCCAGCACTTGTGGCGGCACGGAGCCGGTGCCGGTCATAGGCACATCGTCGCCGGGGGGAGGAGGCCCGAGCGCAGCGACGGGTGTGGAGATGCCGTCTGCATGGGCTTGCTTGTAGTGGCGGTCGAGGTCAGTCTTGCGCTTAAACGGCTTGGAGGGGCATGCCGCGCTGAGACATGTCCACTCAATATCTTTCGGTTGCTGTACGGGCGATCGGTTGGTGACGGCGAGGGGTATCACGCTGGGAAGGGTGTCCGAGGGCGGGTACCCAGGCTGTAGCTGCCAGAAGCCACCATCGTCGGCTGGATGGTAGTCGTATAGAGACCAGTCAAAATTGGCAAACGAGACCTTGTCCCTGCGAGTTTGCCACCCAGGTCAGTCTGCATGCTCGCAAATGGTCATGTGGTGGTTGGGGGGAGGAATTCTGCGAACCATTGTTGAGCCGGATTCAGGCCTTGCGCCGTTGCTGGCAGCATGCCCTGTGGCATCATGCCAGGCATTGCGCCCGGCGCATTCGCTGTGCCTGGGGCAGATGCGTGGCTTTGGAGCTGTGCTTGAGCTTGGGCTTGAGCTTGGGCTTGAGCCTGTGCTTGAGCCTGGGCCTGGGCTTGAAGATGAGGAGGCAGTTGCTGCAGCTGGGAAGGTCCTCTATTGGGGTGCATCGGAGGAGGTGCCATGGCGAAGAGGGCGCCGTGATCTTGAGGCGGAGATGGATCGATCAGCGACATTTGGCTTACTCCTCGATGGATCGTTGGCGTCGGGGGATTGAATCTGGGGTTGGAAGAGGATGCAAGGCAGAGGTGCAAGGTCTGGAGATGATGACAGGTAACGAACCTTCGCCCTCAGTTCTGCCGGGTGCCATGTGCGGGTTGAGAGAGAGAAAGAGAGAGAGTCTCGCCGCGTCGCGTAGAGCTGTAGCCGCTTGCTTGATGGAGGCTTGAAGCTTCAATGTTGGGGATCGCTCGTTGGAATTGGGAGGGAAAGGCTAAGGGTCTTGGGAGCTCGAGAAATCGGGTTCGAGCTTGTGAATTCGAAACTTGGGCGAGGTAGTCGTCGGGCTCAATCAATTAATCAATTCATCCAGTTCGGGCGGGCGCACGCGCTCGGCTCACTTGATCGTCACGAGGGCGGGGAGCAGATGGGTCGAGGAAAGCTGGAGGAGGTCAAGGTCCATGGCTCGGCGGGAGTGAGGACAGTGTGTGAAAGAAAGAGACGGAAGGTGCTTTCGGTTGAGGAGGAACAAACAGATGAGGACATGTAGCAGGAGGAACAGAGCAGGAGCAGTAGTCATGGGCAATGAGCAGAAGGGAGGCGAAGGGGGCGTTCGCTTGCTTCGCGCTGAGCTGGTCCGTCGAGGGCCGCAATAGAGGATGTTCGCCCGTTGGCCAGCTGTTTGTGCTCTGTCGTCTTTTTCCCTCTCTCGAGAGAATGACGAAGAGGAAAAGGACCTTTCCGTCCCCGTGGACACGGCGAAGAGAAGAACCTAGGAGTATCCAGATCGAGAAGCTCGAGCGGCGACTGTACAGAAGGAGTAGCACCAGCGATAGAAGCAACGACAGCAGCAGCCACAATGCGAGGCGGGGTGCATGTTTGTCCAATCCGATCCAATCCAATCCCGGGGGGAGACCGTGACAGTTTGATGGATGGTCTCATTGCCTCGCGCTCGGCGGGCGGCCAGGTTGGCTGGCAGCGGGTTGGCGGACCACCCCTCCTCCTCTCGCCTCCTGTACCTGACCAGCAGCACCCACATACCCCCTCCAGAAAGCCAAGGGGAGCACCTGAACACACGAACGGACCACGGCGGCGGCGGCGGCGGCGCAGATGACAGATGAGATGAGATGAGCGTCCTGAAGGATGCCGCGTTAGCGGTTCGGAGACGCAAGAAGCCACTTGGCAGTTGGAGTAGGGAGGCACGGCGCCCCAAATAGGCGGCAGGGATCCTGGATCCAGATGGTCCAGATGGGTAAGGATATGCGGCTTGCGAGGTGTCGAGCTGGTCACACTCCATGGGTCCTTTTGGTTTTCGTTCTCGTTTTCCCTGCCCTTGACCGTGAAAAATGACCATATGGGTGGGCAGCTGTTGGGGGTCCTTGGGCCAGGGACATTGTGCGAGAACGCAAGGAGGGTATCATCTCGTGTGCAGTTTGGGGAGGGGGGCGGCAAGGCGGGGAGTGTGTGATAGTGTTGCTGTTGGCGTTCGTTCTGGTTGGGTGTGGGTGGATGGACATCTATCTACCTACCTAGGTAAGGTACTCAACTAAGGCAACCCTAGGTGGTTATTATTAGGGAGGTATCGTAGGTGAGCTTGGTTGAGCTCTCGGTGGACAAGGTGACTGATGTGCTCGTTGTTCGGTAAGTCTCGGTAAGAGTCGGATCAGGAAACCTGCGGGTCACAAAAGTCCAACCCCACCTTGCACGTACGAGCAGGTGGGACTGGTGCCTCCACACCTCCTCTTCTCATCAGACCTCAGCTTCGCGCGTTGTTACTTTTTGCGGAGGCAGGTTGAGTAGCATCAGGCAATGATAGCCGTTGCACCGTTCGGAGCGTGTGCTCGCGCTTTTTCGTGGTGTATCGATTAACCTTACAGACAGCACTGATGAGCATCTGGAAGACATAACTCGCGTGGTTTGCGACAGCATTTTTCGCCCCCTTGTTGCTTTGGGCATCGACGGCACCCCCAAGACGAGTGTGGCCCAGTAGTAGTGGCAGCAGCAGAAAGAGTGGACAGGTGGACAGGTGGACAGGTGGTCAATGGAGGATTGCGTGCCACCTCTCATGGCCTCCAGCAGCCCCGAGCTCAGAGTAGGGCGGGCCTCGGGCTCATTTCTCAAAAAACGAGGTTGGGATGCCTCAGATCCAGACAGAACAGGTCGGGCTGCATCGTCATCATGGACACACAAGAGTTGGACAGCAACAGCTATTTACGTGGCATCATGAGCAGGCTAAGCAGCTTTGTTGCTAACAGAGCTCCTCTTTTCGTGTCACCAAGGCTCAACTACTGGCCTGCCCCATGTCTCCCCCATGCTTCTCAGTGCTCCCCATTTCTGACTTGGCCGGTTCCCATTTGGCCCATCCAAGTGTCTAGTCATCTGTGGATGCCAGTGCCGTGCATAAGTGTCTCTGCCAGACGACCGCCCTGCCAGGAATCAGCAGCCAAAGCGGACAAAGCGAGCACGCAGGTTGGTCGGGCCCATCCATCGGTGACCAGCAGAGAGAGCAGCCAGCAAAGCTGCCCGCCCAGCTCGATCGAGGTGACCCCTTCATACAAAAATCTCTGCAACCCTGCGTCGGACGGAGGGGCTTTGAGTTCTGCAACCCTCGCCGGTCCTCCATTCCTGGGGACGAGGAGAGAGAGAGAGAAAGAGAGAGAGAGGGGAATCGACAGAATCCTCATACCTTTGTTGGATTACATTCACACCCTATCACTTCGGACTTGCTCCCACGGACGGGGAGAAGTGACGAAGCTTGAGGGTACGTACCTCGCGACGTATCGCTTCCTCATCGCATCGCACCTTCCGGCCGTCCAAGGAAGGAGTCAGCTTCCCCACCCAGGGCGCCATTGCCCACTGAACGGGATTCTGAGGGCGACACCTCGCAGCACCCTGCGACTCCCAGAGTTGGGCACTCGGACACACTCGGACCAGGGGTGCTCCTACCAGCTTGTGCCGGGTCTTGGCGCAAATCGTCCATCTCCCTTTCCAACCCCTGAACACGAACCATATCCGAATCGGAATACAGCGTCAGAAAAAAGTTTCCCGACATTGTCACCATCGGCATCAGGAACTCATCCTCTGGCAACGCGTTGCTCTTGCACCTAGCATTCCTCGAACCACCTAGTCATCACGCTATCCTTCTGCCTACCAGGCCGTTACGCAATCCATCCATCCTTTGGGATTCTCACAGGTATGTACGTAACGTGTCCTCGCTCTTGACGACGAGCCCACGACTACTTTCCAGGCATCAGTGGCAGAAAAAGCTTTGCGCAGACGTCTCCATTTCTACTACCGAAAAAAAAAACACTGCCCCTCTCCTTGTCGCCGCAGCATATAGGCACCAGCGAGAACAACATCTGACATGGTCTTATAAGCAGCCAAACGCGACTGAATCGTCCCTTGTCATCGCATTCTTCAGACACGTGAAACCCGCAACCGCTTCCCACCGCCCGGACCACTGCCACAACGACAACAATAAACATCATCACCATCATCACCATCACCATCACCACCAACAACGTCTCGTCACCCAACCGCTACCATGGCCCGCATCCAGATTCCCCTTGACGCCCTGACGTCGCGCCTCAACTTCCAGGAACGCTTCGGCAGCCTGTCGACAGGCACCGTCGGCAGCCGCTTTTCGAACCTGCGTCCTATTTCCGACTTCCTGGACTTCAAGCGCCTCAGCAAGCCCGCCAACTTTGGCGAGGCGCAGTCGCGTGTCAACTACAACCTGAGCCACTACTCGAGCAACTATGCCGTCGTCTTTGCCATGCTGAGCTTGTACGCTCTGCTCACCAACTGGCTGCTCATGTTCGACATCATCTTTGTCGTCGCCGGTATGTTCATCATTGGCCGCCTCGACGGCCGCGACCTTGAGATCGGTACCTTCAAGGCCACCACGTCGCAGCTGTACACCGGTCTCCTCGTTATCGCCATTCCCCTGGGTCTTCTCGCGTCGCCCTTTGCGACGCTCCTGTGGCTCATTGGCGCATCTGGCGTGGTCATTCTCGGCCACGCTTCTTTCATGGACAAGCCTATCGATGAGGCTTTTTCCGGGGAGGCGGTCTAAATGGTCGGCCGCGAGCTCCCAAATTCGCGCCCCCATGGGGAAGACCATCGCGGCGCAGGCGGAGGACAAGGGGAGAACACGAGGATGCGCACAGCGGGTACTGGGAAAACGGAGAAAGGATTGTCGAAGAAGTAGACACGGGCGATGATACGGATACACAGGGCGTTGGATTGACTTCGAATGACAGGCGGCTCGTGAGCGATCCGTTGCATTTTACTGGGGTAGACCTGGGAGACCGAACCGGCGCAACGCGGAGGAGCTTTCCTTATCAAGGCTCTGAAGATGAACAGGACGATGACATTACTTCTTCCGGCGACGACGACGACTACGACGAGGGGGCACAGCTGGTCCTGCGCGAGAGGGAAGAGGAGGCATTGGTGCAATCAGCGCTGGCGCGCATTCAGCGTGCCCAAGACCGCGGCAAGAAAGAGGTCAAGCTCAACAAGGAGGAGCTCGCCGCCCTCGAACGAAGGCGGAAGCGCATTCAGGAGGAGGAAGCGGCGGCAGCGGCAGCGGCAGCAGCAGCAGCAGCAGCGAGACGAGCGAATGCGTCAGCAAGCGGCAGCGAACGCAAACGTCGCAAGGAGAAGGAGAAGCGATATGCAATTCCCCTCGCACAGCTCGAGGCGACGCCGCGCAAAAAGGGCAAAAAGTCACCCCCTGCGTCTGACGACAACTTGCCACGGCACCCCTCTCCAGCCAATACGGCGGAGGCACCGACAAGACGAGAGGTTCTGCCGCCCATGGGATTCTTTCCGCCACCCACAGCGTCTCGGACCAGGCCCCGGTCGTCGACGACGTCGTCTCACCGGTCCTCTCGGGCAGTGGAAGACCATCGTGGGTCGTCGCCTTTCAACCCAGCGGCCTACAGCCAACCTCCATCGTCTCACCGTCACGTCTCGGACACGGTCAGCTCAAGGCCGCGTTCCTCTAGAGGCGCTCTGCCCGCGGAGGATGCCTGGACGCCCGGGCTCTCGCCGGCATCGTCCTCGTCGTCCATCTCGAGGAGCCGGCACTCACTGGACCCGCACATGTTTCAATCGGAGAGCTCGCGCGCGCCGTACCTGACTGGCGCTGGGGCCACCTCCCGGAGGCACCTCGCAGGTCCGGCCGAGGCTCGGCGGTCGTCGGGCCCCCCTGCTGCAGCTAGGGGCGGCAGAAGCTCGCGGCGGCCGAGCCCGGACGAGACGAGTGAGGCGGCGAGCGAGACGAGCGACCCGGACACGAGCGACGACCTCGGCAACGGGGTTCAGATTGTAGATCCACCGCTACGAAGGGGCAGGCGAAGTGAAATTGTGGTGGAGGAAGAACCGGCGGATCCGCGCCGTGAAGCGTCGAGGGGTAAGAAGTCGTCCAACTCGTCTCCTGTCAAGAGAAAGCCAGTTGCCAGCGGAAGGAAGAAGAAGAAGTAGCATTCGTCATGGTCTTCGGGGTCTTCGGAATTATCATGTTAGCTTTTGGTGCTGCATTCTGGTCATACGGTATAGAGTTAGTATTTTTCTTGATTTCTGGTTTTGTGGCCACGCACCCAGTGTTTTGATGCGACTCTCCGACCTGGCCAGACGTCTTGGGTTCTGGGTCTGGCCGCGACCCAGCGGCATGTGTGCCCATCGACTAAGGCACGTCGAGTTGATAAGTGGTCCATCTACAGCACTACAGCAATCGAGCCATCTACAAGATCCCGTAGTCTGATCTGGTGGATCGGTCCGTCGCCGTCTCGCCAGAAGACCCCTGAAGTTCACCGCCCAGGATCGCCTCACGCCAGGCCTGTTTGGGAGCCCAGGCGCGGGGCCTGGCAAGCTGGGTCTACCCCCAACCTCATGCATTTCGCCGTCGACATGTCCAGTTTTTGGGGGTCCCTCTGAGGAGCGCCCCCAGCGGTGAGACCCGGACGCAGCTTGCCACACGCCCCGACCCAATCCCCTCGTGTTCTTCTCGCCCCCCCGTTCGCATTGCACCGCGGGCAAGACAAGGACAAGACGCAGCATTTCTTGCATTGCATTTCCTACGCACATTGACAAGACAAGGCCCCGCGATAGGTTCGTTGGGAGAGCCTCATCAGAGAGAGAAGTCGATTGCGCGCTATCCGTACCTGCCGAGACGTGGGAGTTCAAAAAGGGAATCTGAGCTTCCTTCCTCGATCAGGTAGCTCCCAAGAGCTCTGACCAGCCACCTCCCAAAGCCAAAGGCCCAAGTGCGCTCGTCCCCGAACAAAGCACCACTCTGTCGAACACGCGCCTCGCATCGCAACGCAACGAACATAGACACATACAGACAACGGACAAACGGACGAGAAACTACGCAAGTCGATCGCCGCCATGGGCTTCTTCGACTTTGACGGCGGCAGCGTCATCTCCAGGCGCTCGTCGCACTCGCGCCGCCACTCGTCGCACCCCAAGTCCTCGAAGCGTCGCGACCGGTCGCGCAGCCGCTCCAGCTCGCGCAAGCACCAGGACAAGGGCTTCGCGGCCTCGCTGTTCGGCGGCGACAATTACCAGAAGCACAGCAGCTCGCGGTCGAGCTTCTTCGGGCAGCCGAACGCCAGCCGCTCCTCCTTTTTCGGATTCAGTACGTCTCCCCGAGTTACCCCCTTCTTCCTCTCCTTTGGCCCCTCGTCCCGTCGCAGTCGTGGCCCCGATTTGCTGCTGTTCAGATGTGAAAGAAAGAAAAGACTAACGCAGCGCAGGCCGCCCCTCGTACTACAAACGGTCGCCGCGCGGCGGCTTCCTCCACAAGGCCAAGAAGACGGTCAAGCGGCTCTGGCGCGACCTCATGCGCCTGCTCAAGGAGAACCCGGGCAAGGTCGTCATGCTGGTGCTGATGCCGCTCCTCACGGGCGGCTTCCTGACGGCGCTGCTGGCCAAGTTCGGCCTGCGGCTGCCGCCGAGCGTCGAGCGCATGATTGGCATGGGCGCGCGGGCCGCGGGCGGCGACAGCTTCGGCGCCGTCGGCGAGGCGGTGCGCATGGCGAGCGGGTCGTTCGGCGGCGGCGGCGGCGGTGGCCAGGGCGCCAAGATCAACATTCAGCGCGGCATGGGCAATGGCATGGCGTGGGAGAAGAAGACGGTCGAGAAGGACTTGGGGTGGGGGGACACCATTGGGGGCATGGCCAAGATGTTCATCTAGATGGGCACCTCGGCTAGAGTGCATCTCGCTTGGATGTGCATTTGACATGCACATCTGGCTTGCAGGGTCAAGGGGCAAGGGGCAAGAGGCAAGAAGCTCTATCTGTCTTTATCACGGGGCTGGCGTTGGTGGACATTTTCAACCCTTTCATATGGGCATGCTCCGGCCGCGGCCGATGAGGCTTTGTCTGGCCGGGCAGCACAATAACGATTTTATGACAAAAAGCTGAAGACGAGTCTAACAGAATCGACTGAGCGATCAAAATGAGAGATTGGTATCTATCGCAAACATGACCATGCAAATGAGAAGTTGCTGTGCAGCTTTCTGTTCCCTCTTTGCCGGCTTCTTCTCCTGCCCTCTTTCCCAGGCTTCATCCCAGGCTACTTCTCCTCTCTCCGTTCCGACCTCGGCCAGCAACCATCAGTTTCACGCCTCCAACTGCGGCGCCACCCCCTTGTGGTCTTCAATCTTCTCCACGACACAGGCCGTCCCGTACGCGCAGACCTGGGCGAAGCCGCCCAGCTCCCCGGCATCGAACCGCAGCGCAACGACGGCGTTGCCGCCCCTCGACTTGGTCTCGGTGACGACGCGCGAGATGGCGTCGTTGCGGCAGCTGTAGAGCATCGTGGTGAACCAGCGCAGCTCGCCGCCGGCGATGGACTTGAGGACCATGCCGAGGCCGGCGGCCCAGTTGCGGGAACGGACGGTGAGGCCGTAAACGGCGCCGAGGGTGCGGACGACGCGGTACCCGGGTATGTCGAACATGGTGGTCGTGATGACGCCCTCCGTCTCGGTGAAGCAGTGGAGGTCCGAGAGGGTGGGCGGCACATGGGCAACGTCCTCGGTCTTGCGAGAGGATGACATGATGTGCGGTCTTAGGAAGACTATGGTTGGGCGGTTTCTTCTGAGGGCAGAGGCGTGATCACGTACAAGACCAATCTCCAAAGCAAATAGGAGGGATGGCTCAGAACTCGAGGATGAGATATCGATAGAGAAACGGCTTCAACACGACAACAACAACACAGAGCAACCGCCCTTTTTATAGTGCCCAGTCTCGGCCGAAGTCTTCTTCCTCATGCCCACCTGCGGACTGAGGCCCTCCTGTTGCGAGGACAGATTGACTCTGAAAGCCAGATGGTCGGCGCTGGCGAGCGCCAGCTGAGACTACGGCATCAGACATGCAGTGCAATTGGCCCGCAGTTCACCGGCAAGGCTGCATATGGCCATGGTGGTCGTATTTCGTATCGTCAAGATGGCGGGCACGAACAGGACATGCGTCCCTTGATTCGGCGGCAGGAGGAAGCTCGGGCGGGGCCGCGTTCAACGTCTCGTTTACCTCTTTGGGCCAAGCGGCATGATGAACGTACGTGGTACTCACTCGCCGACTCACCGAATTCGACATGTGAGCCAGTCAGGTGTAATGCCTACACCGAGATGGCGAGTGCCCATTACCTCAGCGGCCCAAGGTGATTGTGCCTCTTGGCAACATCATGACAAACACCTGACCTGCCCTTACGTCGCTGGGGTCAAATCAACCGGACGAAGCTATCACGGTGTGCCAAGGCGCCAGTGGGAGAGTGCTCATCAACCTCCATCGGCACTTGTCAAACGTCAAACGCCCAGGTACAGCAAGCTAACCCCCTGTACTGACTCGTCCCACGCCGAAGCGCGTCAACCTCAAACGCTGCCCGCCCCCAAATCGTGCGAACCGCAATGTACCGAATAAGCTCAGCCCCTTCGTCTCATCTTACTCGGGATCGGTTTTCTATCTTGCAGTGCCGTTACCACTTCCAGCGATGACGACCGAGTCGCCCGCCCCATCCAGACTTCGCACCTGTCCCGAACGTCGTGCCGTCCGCCCACACGAGACGGACGCGAACCACCATGCGCCCTCTGCCATCATGCAATCAAGACGTTACAGATGATGTGCACTAGAACCCTTTTTCACAATAAGGTTTACCCCTCGGCCGGGGATGCCGTGGGGCCTGCCTATTCACCCAGCCTACCGAACGCGAGCTTTGCCAATGAACCAGTTCGGTGCCTGAGTCGCCGTCTTTAATTAGGGGACCATTGAACCGGAACCTTCGGTGATCCCTGGACGTTGGATCAGCAACATCACGGGCGCGTCGCCCATGCCCCGTGGACCATGGCTCGTGGGTTGCCAACTATCGGGTACAAAAGGATGGCCGGTGCCCGTCCTTGTGTCTGGTCTACCTTGAAGGGATCGTCAGTCTCGTCATTCGCAGTCGTCTTCATTTCGTGTTCTTCATACTTCATTCTTTTCAAAACCACACAGTCTTTACACTCATCAACACTTATTTTTGGTTCTCAACAGAAATATCTGCATCATCAGCATCATCATCATCATCATGCTTCCTTCCGTCCTCACCGTTCTCTCCGCCCTGGTGGCGTCCTCCTTCGCCAAGCCCGTCACCAAGTGCCGACAGGCCGCCGTGACCTGCCCCATCGTCTTTGACGGCCGGGTGCCCCAGACGGCCACGGTCCAGGGCTTTGACACGGCCGGCGGCGGGGGCTTCAACCCCTTCAACCCCAACTTTGTCAAGGGCAACAACCTGACGTGGTCCGAGATCCTCCTGCTGCCCACCATCACGCCGGCCTCGCGCTTCGACGCCGCCAAGAACACGCGGCCCGTCGAGGTGACCATCAGCGACGAGTCCATCTTCATGACGCAGCTGGGCTTCCGCCGCGCCGAGCTGCAGTTCGCCAACGACACGGGCAGCGGCAGCCCCGGCAGCGTCGGCGTCAAGACGCTGCACTTCAGCGTCCAGACCGACGCCCAGCGCCGCTTCAACGAGTCGCACGAGTACCTCAACGTCTGGCACGAGACGGCCGCCTTTGACGCCAACCAGTTCAACTTCCAGACCGGCACCATCATCGGCCAGCCCGAGCTGCCCGCCAACACCTGGAAGCTCCTCGACCGCAACAACGCCCTGCTCTGGTCGACGCCCGTCCTCGACGGCGTCTGGCAGAACTTTGGCCTGACCCTCGACTTTAACGCCAAGTATGTCGTGCCCCAGCCTTTCCCTCCCCCTTCCGTCCTTTCTGCTAAACGTTCTTCCCAGCACCATCGGTGTCCTCTACTCCGAGGGCGACAAGCCCCTGGCTCCCTCCGGCAAGGGCGCCTTCCCTGCGAACCTTGCCGGCGAGGGCCAGTACCACGTCGGTATCCTCAAGAAGCCCACTGGCACAGACGACGTTGTCAACTCGGGCTTCCAGGAGAGCCCCCTCAATGAGGGTCTCATCTACGCTGGCGTCTTCATCGAGGACAGCGCCAACGGATGCGTTTCCAAGTAGATGGGGAAAAGAGAAAAAGATGCGACTCACGCATGTAGAAGTAGAAATGTCAAGCGCCCAGCGCATCTATTCTTCTAATGCACCTTGATCCAAACCTGGTCAGCCTGCCTGTCTGGCGGAATCTATCAAAGTCTAATCTAGCGTGTAAATCACGCTCGTGCGTCTATGAAAGAAATTATAATCAAACTTCTACCGCAACAGTAATCCTTGCGGTGCCTCTCCCTGCGTCGGAGCAACGGCAAAGTCAGCTTTGAGCGGCGTCACACTGATGCTCTCATTCAGAGAGCACCATAAATCCTCCCCTGCCTTACTGACCCCCGCGGAGCGATGCACGTCAGCCAGGTCGGGAGCCCACCTGAATCGAAGTGTCCCCTTGGCATCCTCCTGGCTCTCCTCTGGCGCGAACAGGCTCCCTTTGCTCCAACGGTTCGCTGCCACCTTGGTGTAGCGAGCGGGACACGTTGTCACGCTGTCAACCATGGGCACGTTGACGCTGTATAGCTCGACGCCCGGCGCCCATTCACGTGCTAGCTCCTCGACGAGTGCGCACGACCGCAAGCAGGCGTCGGCAGTACGCCTGTCGGGCTGCACCTCCTTGCTGCCAAAGCTCAGGGCGATCGCCCGGCGGCCACAAAGAGCAGCCTCGAGAGCACCACCGACAGTGCCGCTGCTCAATGTGTGCAGCGCGCCCGAGTTTCGCCCATGGTTGGGGCCGGAGATAACAAGGTCAAAGGCGGAGCCTGACCCAGTGTGGAAGAGACCGAGCTGGACGCAGCTGGCGGGCGGGCCATCGACGAGAAGCCAATGCTTGGTGGGATCGTAAGAGCCGTCGGCTGGTCGGCGCTCTTCATGAGCGGAGACCATGGGAAGATAAGGCGTCGCTGTCAACGTCTTCCCCACGGGGTGGGCCTTTGCGATCCAGGACAGAGGGCGATCAGGGATGACGACAACGGTGGTGTGACCAGCGGCGTGGAGCGCGGCGAGGAAGGGCGCAAAATAGGGCGATGAGGCCGAAGGAGGCCCGTCATCGTTGACTATCTGTATGTGTGTTAGCTTGGCGGCTTGGGGGACGGAAAGGGCAGCTTCGGGCGGCGCTGCGTTGAGCACGGCTCGGCTGAGTCGCAACGGGACGCTGGACGTGCTCAGGTAGCTATCCGGGGGGGGCGAGGAGCGCGCGATATTTGAAGCGCGAAGGGTAGATTCGGCAGTCAAAAACAGAAGGACGGGCCGCGCACCAGAATATGCATGGCCGCAGGCCGGCGAACTCCTGAAGTCTACAGGACGATAACAAGGCGGTTTTTGGCTCAAGGCGATGTTATGCAGGCGAGGTCTCGTGGACGTGGATGCCTGGAAGTGATGGCCCAATGGGGAGCGTTCCGGGCGAGGTGCCGTGCAAGCTGGGCAATGAGAAGGTGCTTCAACCAGGAAATCGGGTGGCCGTTTGCATGCACATTGACGATTGATTCGTTGAGAGGGTTCGCAAGCCAGTTCTTGGAGGGGAGCGGAGGGATGCGGTGCAGCAGACGAAGATGATGGTTGTGACAAGGTTGAACGCCAATGCTGAGAGCCTTGATGAAGAAAGTGTCAAGATGATGGTTGGCAATGTGACTCAAGTTCGTTCGGTCCGCCTCACACTGAGATGTGCCTTCCGCAGACATATGGCGGCCCCTCCCCCCGACCCTCCTTCCAGTGACGTGCCTTCCCCCGAGTGATGTGGGGTATGGCCGCCTGACGCTCGATGGGGAAGATGCGCACAGGGTCCGGCCTTCGTATGCTCCGCACACCGTGTAAGAATTGCCTGATCATTCAACGGGGCAGTCGCAACGGCCGGATTCGCACCTGCCTAGCTCTCAGCACGGTCACCGAAGTCGGGAAAGCCGACTCGAGCTACCACTTGCCTCTCAGCATTCGCCCGCGACGTTTCGCCTCGCCTTCTGTTCACTCTGCTCAGTCTGCCTTGGCAAGGCCTGACGTCTTCCCTGACGCATGTATACGCAGAAACATGATGCGGCTCCGGCTTTTCAGCAGTGCTCATGTCCACCTTGGGCTTGGCTCATGGTACAAGACATCAGCTGGCACCGCCCCATCGCCATGTTATTGAAACCAACACTCTCTCTTCACAGCCCGCCCCCGGCATGAGACTTTCCCGAAAGATCATGGGGACTTGTTCAAGTTTCACTTCGCCACTATAGCTTCATCATTGTCCCCATCTTGTTCTCATTTTGTCGACCACCCTCAGCAATGGCAGGTAGGCTTCCACAAGGCCCGCCAGAGAACCCCGTGCCTCGGGATCCCAACCTCGCCTGCTCAACTGGGAGAGGCAATCAATCATACCCTTACGGGGCCTACTCGCCGAACGTGACTAGTCACCGAAGCGGCGAGCCTTCCTTGCCCTTCCCACCATTCTCGTCACCCTCAGACTTTGGCTCAACGCACACCTTTGTGCCGTCTGGACATGGTGTCGGGCAGCGAACAGACCCGAGGACTCCATCCATCTTGATCAAGTACGTTGACTCTGCTGAATTCTCGCTCTGGACCTAGTCTGCACTGCACGGTTGTCTCATCAAGAAACTGACACTCCCCAAAGTGAATTCTACCAGGACCTCGACAACAATGTTTATCAGGCCGCCTTACAATCCCCATACTCCTCGGCGGCTGGTTCTTTAGACGAATCCTTCAATCCCGAGAGACAGCCTGTTTTCCCCGTTCATGGGGCCTACGGAGCGAGACTCGTCCGAACCCAGAGTCGTGACAGTAACGCCAGTGGTTACGATGACACAGCGTCGATTGCCCACAGCTGCGGCTCAGCAAATGATAGCTTTGACTTTGACCGTCCACAAACCAGTCTCGTTACCCCCGCGACCAGCGCCGGCTACTCGAACAATGTATTTCCTGCGAGCGCTCCGGGACCGCTCGGCGGCCCGCGGCCCTCGCCCGCCACCAGTAGCCCCTATCTTGGTGGGCAGCTCACTACCACTTCCCCCAAGACCTCCGTGAAGCCCCGGTTCGGCCACTCGAGGACCCCCTTGTACGATCCGCCACCAGGTGCGGTTCCGTACAACATACAGGGCATCTTCCCCAGGGAGAGTGCTCTGTCGGCTGGAATCGCCCAGAGTCAGGTATCCCCAACTGAAGACGCCGGCCAAGACTATTTCCAACAATGGCAATCCCAGTTGACCCACGACGCCCATGTTGGCGCGCACACCAATTTCATTGGGTTTGGCGACATCAACCCCACAGGGGCACACACAAACTACTCCGGTACACAGGAACCATTGCTTGCATGGCCTGCGCCCGAGCCGTATGGTGATGTGTTGGAGCATGACTTCGGCAGCGTTCCGTCCTCCAATGCTCACCCCCTGGATCACTATCCCACCTCTGCGTCGAATCACAACTTTGCCGAGCCACTGCTTGAAACGCAAGCATTATGGATCGACTCGCCAGCTCCCCCAAGAAGTCACCAATCTCTCTTGACAGTACCTCCACGAACGAGGAGAAGACCCTCTGAGTCGCAACGACCTAGACCCTTCTCGACCGGTAGCGAGCCCATAGCAATTCCAGGAAGATCGCCTTCGCAGGCCTTGCATCAGTACATAACTCAAAACAGCCCTACTCAGTCTCACTCTCCTGCGGCGCCTGAGATGTTCCGGTCGAGTAGGATTGTCTCAGCCGCCTCGTTACCTCTACCGAGATCCACTACTTCAGGAGGAGTTCGAGGTAAACGAAATGGCCCCATGAAGACACCAGCACGCGAGTCCGCCAAAAAGACGCGGACTGACAGGTCAATTTGCATTGCTTGCAAACAAAAAAAGCAGGGAGTGAGTTCTTGCAATCCTAAGAGCGACCCTACGTGGAACATCGCTAACCATATCTCAGTGCATAAGACCCATGGAATCTCCGAATTCATCCTGTGTCAACTGTGTGAAACATGCCTCTAAGCGACCAGGCCCTTGCTTCAGAGCGTACTTTGACGACATTGTGAGCTCTGGCGCTCTCAACTATATTTGTAAGTTGTCTCGAATCAGCCATGATCGTAAAGACCTGACCAGTCTGCAGCGCAGCGTGCCATACACCATGTTTCAACAGATGGAAGTAAACGCATCTGTAAACCGCTTCCAAAGGAGTTCCCTCTGAACGAAGTAATCCGAACACTTCAAAGCGTCGCAGGTCGTTTTGACCTAAGGGTCAGTCAGGGCGGACGATCGATGTATGTCCTTCGATTGGATCAGTGTCGAAACTATTTATCAAGGCTCCGCGACCTTTATTTGCAAAAGGGCTACGAGCCGAACATGAGCGCGTTTATCGACAAGGAGCTGTTTCAAGACAGGCCGAGATTAGACAACTGGACTTCAATGATCACCGACTGTCAAGTCAGCACCAAGGACGATAAGGTTGCACTGCTGTTGGCATTGGGCAACATGCCGAGCCGGGCCACATATTCGTACGTTCCTTTGCCTCATCGACACGCGAAACAAGACCCTTTGAGCGGTCGAAACATCGATCCCGAGGCTGCTCATGAAGAAAAATACCTTGTCTGCGCTGCCCATTTGGCCCGCATCATTGCACGCAAAGTTGAAGTCGAAGCATACACTCATATCCAGACACGATGCCACAACGCCAATCAGCTGTCAGACGCAGATCTAAACCGTCTCCTACAAAATATCGGACTTCTACTCGTGTCCTTGCGATGGCGCCACACTTGGTGGGGTATGCTAGGCGATGGCACTGTCCAGTGCGAGCCACATCGAGGAGACTACGAGGTTCGTGTGCGGGAGTTATGCGAAGGGTTGTACTTTTGGTTTTGTTCACTAAGAAGACGCTTCCCACCATCGCCAGCAGATGTTTCGGACAAGCTTTCGGGTGTTCATTCACATTATGCAGACACAACGAATAGTGTCTGGGACGCGTTTCCAGGACGAGATCAGGAGAGTCGTGAAGGATTCAATGCGTGGTTGGGCCACGGGCCTGCATTGGTTATACAGGCTGGGGCTGCTACCACTGTCCACACGGGACTTGTGACTTCTTTGTCGTGAGTGGTGTTATCTTTTCTACTTCGGCGTAATGTACGGGTTTGCTTTGTGGGGTTTTACGCCAATGATGGGGGTTTACGAGTAACATGACGGCCGAGAAAAGAGGTAGTCTCACCATGCGAACCAGACTCATGGATACTATACTACAGGCAATGTTTGGCGTTCAAGATTATATGACACATTACTTGATTGAAGATATTCGAGCATGCAGTAGGGCATCCTATTTCGGAGTCATTCTTTGACGTTGTGCCTGACATAGCGGGTATTTGATTCACAAGTGTACAGAGAACTCTCATAGTGACATTCATTTGCTCTTGTGGCTTGGTTATTGAAGTCTGGGTTTACGAATGGGGAATGTACACATATGCACACATCTTGAACACGGATTTGATTTTTTGACAAAACCTTGGCCCCTTGATAGCACATGGTATTCGATCCCGAAACAATACGCATGCTTGGCTCACACATCCAAGTAGGAACGTTAAGGAATGGGCACGTTGAATGAAAGTATCCAGACATGGACAAGATAGGTGCCTGTGAGAATTGAAGCCGGCGAGATAGCTCAAGCTCTGTGTTGGGCACCTTTCCTGTTCTTGATCTTGACGAGTGCATTCTCTTTGTCACGTATGAGTAGCTCTGGGTCTGCCCAGTACATCATTCATCAACCGCTTTCAATCACAGTGTTTGATCTGAAGTTAGCCGACAAACCAATTGTTTCGTTCTAACCGCTTCTAAGCTAAATGGTGTGAGCGATACAAATACGAGTCTCTCGCCTTGTGAAGCCTTGACGGCTATCGCTTGTTTTGAGTGAACCAGCAACAATAGCCTCAACTAACCAAACAGACCAAACAAGAACATCATGTGCATCAAAATTCAGAGACGATACACCTGTCCCAAAACAGAGACAGGAGCTCTAGGGCCTGACCCCGACGAAGAGGGCTCCCCAAAGCGCCGGTTTGTGGGCGAGAAGCCTGCGCGGTATGGGTCGAACATCGTGATGGAACCATACACTCTGACGTGCTACGTTGACTTCTCGAACAGTGCGAGCCGGCCTAACGAAGCCTATGAAGCGCACGTCTGCGAGATGGTCGTCGAGTGCGGCGAACCCCAGTTCAGCTGCAAAGACCTCAACACGATGGAACTAAGGCGTGAGAATATCCCCAACCACCACTGCCCCGTCTGCCTTCGCATCCCCGACTATCCTCGGGCTCCCGACAGCACCTGGTCGTACAAACGCCCTATTGCGCAAATTGCTGATGATTTTGAGCGTGGGCAGGCCATGATCGCCTTTGACCAGTACCTCGAAGGTGTGTTGAATCTTGTGTTGGTTTCGCTGACAGTGTTGTTTCACCAGAACCTGGACTGGCAGATATACGTCGAGATGCCCAGCGCCGATCGGATTGCAGGGCTGATTTACTCGCACTTCTGCCGTGAAGATGACGGACACTATGGCGTGGACTCGTGGCACTGCACCTGTCATTCCAACCAGGCACAGTTCGCCGAGGCGTCGAACCTCGGGCGCCTGCTCCGGTTCATTGACGTGGGCGTCATTGCCGAGTCCTACCCGGACGTTGTGATGCGGTGCTTCATGCGAGACGACGAAGGCCACGAGCTCGACTCGGAAAGGGACAAGGCCTGGAGCGAAACGACCAACGACAGGTGGAGGCGGCTCTGCCTGGCGCCCGAGGAGCGCGTCAAGCACTGGGCGCACCCGGACGAGGACAACAGGTTCGCGCAGTGCGTGGCGCAGCTCGAGCACGAGGTTAACCGCACACTGATCGAGGGGCCGACGGCCATTGAGCACGCGCGGTACAGCCGCATCGAGAGCGCCGAGCCCGTCGACGACTGGGACCACGGCAAGTACGCCATGTTCGTGCGCGGCCTCGCCCAGATCCTGTACCCGGCCCTCGCGTGGATCAGCTACGACTCTGGCCTGTCGAACGAGCAGGTCGCCCTCGTCGCCCGCGTGCTCTTCACCCTCGTCGACCACAACCGCGCCGCCGGGCGGGCCCCGATCCCGGGCTTCCCCGCGGGCCAGCAGCCGCAAATCCCCGGCGCCCTCGACGACATCTGGTCCATCATGTACATCACCTTTGACTGCCCCTTCGAGTCGCCCGTGCCGACGCTCGTCCACGACCTGCTCAACAGACGCATCCGCACCGTCCAGAAGAAGATTGACGTCTTCAAGCGCAGGCGCGCCGCCGTCTTCGCGGAACTCTCCCTGCGCCTCGACCACGCCTGGCTGATGCTCGACAGGAGGAGCCTGACCGTCCAGCAGGTGCTCGCCATGCGAGACGAGCCCGGCGGCGAAGCACAGGCGCGGGGCCACGAGGGACAGAAGGCGCCCAGCTGCACCGTCTGCGACGAGGCCTACGACGACACCCAGAAGCTGTGCCGCCCGGCGCTGCTGTGCCCGGAGATGAAGCACCACCTCTGCGCGCGGTGCTGTCTGCGCATCGTCCTCACGGCCAACGTCCGCGTGCCGGATGTGCGCTGCGTCATGTGTCGCCGCGAATGCAACGACTGGATCCTGCTCAGCGACAGGACGGAGCGCTTCATGGACGCTGACGCCGAGGCGGCTGAGGAGATATTGAGCAGGTTCCATGCGGCGGCGCAGCTCTAAGGGCTGAGACTGAGGTTTGGTACTTGTCATTTGTGTCCTGAAAGTCTTTGGTTGTTTTGGCTTGCACTTCTGACTGACTGTGAGCATAGATGTCTGAGCAAGGGGGTATGCGAAGAATTTCGGTTAGAGAATAGTTGGGAGAATAGAAAGAATGTGGTCTTCTCAGAGTGAGTGTGAACTCCATGCCCGACGTATACACAATTGAATCCATCACTGGAACAACCCAATGCATTTCGATGTGAATGATGTGGCCGTAAGGGCTGCTACGCACCTGTCTACCATGACAAGTTCTTTTCCTCGTCTCGATCAGTTATGTCGACCAGCTGTCCTGTAAAACCACTCGCTTATCATGACATGGCATGGCAGGACATGACCTCTCTTTAAACCCCCTCCCGCAACCACACACACGGAACTTTTGCTGGAAACCCAGTCGACCAAGTTGATCACGTCCCAAAGCAAACCCATCTCGCCCCCATACATGAAGATTGACCTGCAGGGTAACGACCAAACGCCTCTCAACCAAACGCCATGCAAACGAAATGCCATGTCACCTTATCGCCTGGTGGATGCAGTCATGACCATATCTCGTGTCCTTCGTTCCCTCACGTACTGACTCGGGCCCCTCGCTTCGTGCCCATCGCTTTGAACACCGCTCATGCGAGATATCGGTACGTTGGCACATCAGCGTCCTCTACGCGCTCCAGGTACTCCCGCACTATCAAGTCCTCGATCCGCTTCTTGACAACGCTGACCTCAGGGCTGAACCGACCGACCAGCTGAGTGACCACCTCGGATATGAGTTGCGAGTGGCCAAGCTCTTTCCGTTGCCTGTAATCATATCAGCGAACATGCCATGTCAAATAGAGCCAGGGCTACATACTTCATCGTACGCACAATGGCCGCGTCGATAATGTGAGCGCGGGACTGTGCGTTCTTCTCCTCCGTCTGCTTGCGCTCGCTGTCGTCTTCAACCTTGGAGACGGCGTTGATGATGGGGGCCTTGATGCGAACCGTCTTGCTGACGAACGATGCATTGAACTTGAAAGTGTCCGTCATTTCAATCCGGCGACTAGCAGGCTCCTTGAGAAGGACGCGGGCCTTGGGCGCGATTGAAAGTGAGGTGAGGGTTCTCATGAGGTCGGGCGTCGGAATGTTGGTCTGTGCTTGGATTTCCTGAGCCGTCAGGGATCGGTCGTCGACATCGTTGAAGAGCATGATGATCACCATGCCAAACGTGGAAACGTTGAGTTCGTATTTGCGCTCGCGGGCCAGAGGCCCCTTGCCACCTGCCATGGCGGGGAACACGCAGCGAATGTCTGCATTACCGGCCGTACCGACCCAGCTGAGCTTGCGACCGCTGCGATTTGTGAGATAGTACTTGGTCAGGCTTTCCTGCAGCCTTGTGATTTCCTCGGGGTAGACGCATTCGGTGCCACCGGCGAGTGGTGCGCTGCGACCCATGACCTCTGGCGGCCAGCTGTTGCTCGTCAGAATATTAATGCCGAGTTCGGCCTGTGGGCGCTCGACATCTCCCAAAGAGCGAATGTGATCTCGGTAGCCGGCGGTTGTCTCCTTTGACGTGTCCATGTCGCGAAGCATGCCCTCAAATTTGGCCGTGAACTGGTTACCGAGCTTGCTCTTCATGCGAGAGATCATCTCCTTCTCGGCCTCGTGACTTTCCGATTTGCTGTGGAGTAACCGCTTCGCCAGGTGCTTTTGGTAGTATCGCTCAAACATGTCGCGGTCCTGGAGGTAATGGATCAGGATGATGGCCTTATCCATGATGACGTGGATCTCCTCGTCCGTTTTGCCTCGGATGCCGCGGCGTAGGTTGTCGTCAATGAAGAGCGACACATATTCCGAGGCTCGCGCAAAGACATTGATGAAGTCGGAAAAGCTTTTAGTGAGCACTGTCTGCAGGACAAGGTCCTCATGGAAGGCCTGGCGCCAAATGTTGTCGAACTTGTCCTTGAGCTGCAGGACATCGTTGACCCATTTGATCGCGGCAGCCGTCTGTTGTGCGGAGACGGAGGGAGCCGCTGGCGCCTTGCTCTTGTCCGCGCCATCGGCAGCCTCCTCACCGTCACCCGCAGGAGCAGGGGCGGAAAAATCGGTATTCTTGACGTTCTGTTCGATCTCGAGACCCAGTTCCACAACTCGACTAGAGAGAATAGCCTTCATAGATGCTTTCGTCTCGTCGACTCGAGCCACCAACCCAAACAGAATAGACAGCTCCTGGATTCGATTATGATCGAGCATAGCCTTGAGCCCGCTAGCCTCGAGCGCCAGAAACTCGTCAAGGTGGCGCGATATCAGCTCGGCCTCCACAATCTTGATGCACTGCTCCTTGGTATCTCTGTGAAGAGTCGTCTCGCATCGATCAACCTCCTCAGACAATCGTCGTTCGGTTTGTGGCAGCCAAACGCTGGCGTCGCCCTCATCGAGGAGCCTCTGACACTCTTTGGCGTAGTATGCGGCCGTGGACTGGAGGAAGACAGGCTCAAATGTTGTCGTGTAGAGCTTCTGGTTGATGTTCTCATTATCGTCCTCATACAGGGAGTCGAGCATTTTAACACTGTTCTTGATCATGTAGCGGTCGATGACCTCCCCGTCCCTCTCCATGTTGACGAGGTCGAGCACGACCGAGTTGAGGATATCGAAAATGGTATAGTCGGCATTGTCGTTGAGGCTCGCGCGTAGAATGCGATCACGGTACAGACCGATGCAGCTGGTGTAGATGGAAGGCCGGCGCGAATCCTGACTGTAACCTCGGTCGAGGTACATCAGAATGTCGGCGACCATGTTCATCGATGTATTGTGGTCCTCCCATGACACCCTGAGGTTGCGCAAAAAGTGCTCGCTCATCTGGCGCCGCTCGTTGACGGACGAGTTGGATTTGCCCATGGCGATGCTGATGAGGTTTGCCGTGACGAGTTTCTCTATGGCGGGGATGACATGGTCGGCAAAGTAGGCTGTTTCGAATTCTCGTACTCGATCGTAGAGCAGATCGCCTTTCTTATTGAGGACAATCTTGTAAGACGCACGGTAAAGTTGTTCGAAAGCGAGAGTGCTGCAGTTCTTGTTGTGGATGTCGAGCATGGCCTCCTTGAGAGTCTGCCAGGGAGCCTCGATGTCGTTGGGATCACCTCCACGTCCGACCATGGGCTGCCAAGATTGAAGAAGCTCGTCAGCAGATTTTCTCGACATGTTCAAGTTTGGTCCAAGGGGTAAATGGGTGGCGGAGGGTGAATCAACCGTAGGACCTCAAGGCGCTACACTTGAGGCAGTAAGGGTCAGACGAGGGGAGAGGGTAGGCAGCGGTGGCAGCGGGAGGCTGAGAAGGCCGAGGAGGTACGAATATTGGAAGAGTGAGGACGAGGAGTGTTTGTCTGAACTGTTCCGTGGCTGCAGACCAGAAGATGAGGCAGGCCAACGCATGAGGGAAGGAGCCATGCGGAGAGCAGGCAAGCACGGAAACACGGGCCATTCAGTCTGTAGACAGGCGTACAAGTTCCCACGCACGTCGTCTCACGAGGCCTCTTGGAAGAAGATACAGGAAGAAGTCATACCTTGACCATGCGGCGAGGAGGTCGGATCCGGCCAGACTTTTGAGCCGGGCCTCCTCCCCCACGTCCTGAAATCATCTTGCCGACAGCTCAGGCCGAGGTGGGCGGCAGCAGAGGGCGGGAGTTTGGGTGGATGTATTGTGTAAGCGGTCTATGCGTCGGTATCTTCGGCTATGAAATGCGTGGGAGACAGAGAGGAAGAGCCTTGCGAAGCGGTGTCGGAAGAGCGAGCGGAGAGGTTACTATTCCGAAGAATGTTTGTCGAGGGTGGCCGCGGGGTACTCGATCGATCGTAGCGTAATCGGTGGCCTTGCTGGAACGCGGGCGGCGGAGATCTGGGGGCTGCAAGGACAAAAAATACTTTCTGTGTGTGTGTGTGAGTCGAAGAGGATGAAAAGCAAGCAGCATATATGCATCAGCTCTCTTGCTGTGACAGAAGACGAGAGAGCAGGCTGAACGAGGTCAAGCCGCAAGACCAGACGGAGAGCGACCAGGCAGGCGGATACAAGGCTGAAGTCAAGTGCCAGTGCCACGAGGTTGAGGGCCCAGATCTTGGATGGAGCCTTCCACCCTGGCCAATAATAGAGAAGAGAGACCCCATGCAAACCGCACGAGCCAGTCATTGACGATGTCCTACTGACGCGACGCGTTAATTGGTGGTCGGAACCCTTAGAGACCGATTTTCCGATACGAGAAAAATCCATTCCACCACGGAGCCGCCAGTGACGACATGTTCGAGGTCGCCTATATCTCAACCAAGCCATCCGTCCTTTCTGCTCCTGCCGCATTTGGCATCGAGTCTGGCCACTCAATCTGACCCTGAATCATTAAAGATACATCGATAGAGCCTCGACCTCCGACAGAGCTCGACCTCGAGACAGAGCTCGGGACAGACGCATCACAATGGCATCCCGCTCAGCGACAGCCCTTTTCCTCTCCAGCGTTCTCCACGCCGCCAGGCCAAGAACAGCCCGGGCAGCAGCAAGAACCATCCCCAGAGCCATCACCAGATCCCAACAACCTCGCATCGCGCCCCTACTCTCCCAGCGCTTCGCCCACAGCATTCCTCGACCGCCTCAGAAGAAGCCTGCGACACCCGAAGTCTCGACGCCCTCAGAAGCATCCTCGGAAGCCTCGACACCGTCCGAAACCCCGCCCAAGTCTCGCGTCGAGTCCCAACCTCACTACCGCCTCACCTTCACCTGCACCCCTTGCAACACGCAGTCCACCCACAACATCTCCAAGCAGGGCTACCACCGCGGCTCCGTCCTCGTCACCTGTCCCGGCTGCCGCAACCGCCACGTCATCAGCGATCACCTCAAGATCTTTGGCGAGCGCAACATCACCGTCGAGGACCTCATGCGCGAGAAGGGCCAGCTCGTCAAGAAGGGCACCCTCGGCGAGGACGGCGATATCGAATTCTGGGAGGACGACGTGGAGGACAACAAGGGCGACGTCAAGATGGCTGGCCAGTGAGCCTGGCGCCGGTGCACCAGCGTAGTTGCGGCGCGTGATCAGGACCCAGGAACGTCGGGACATGATTGTATGAGTAGGAGCAGCAGAGGGATGCCGAGCGCATCATTGTACCAACATCTTGTAAAGAATCTTGTAACTAAACATCACACCCCTTAGCCAAGGCTATGATTCCATAGAGGGGACGCTGCGGAAGGCCCGCGTGGTGTCCATCAGCGATCACTTGCGACGAAGCGAATCATTCATGCAAAACATCTTTGCATTAACAGGTACAGCTTATCTCTACCATGTAGAACACCTAAGAAACTAGCAATGCGATGTGCATTCTTTTTTTTCAAAACCTCCAACGCCTTTCCGATGCAAAAAATCATGTCAGCGACGGCAGAGGCGCCAGCGAGGAACCCGGGAACAGATCACCACGACTTGTACGCCTGCCGGTATGCCTTGAACTCCTGCCCCTTGACCTTGTTCCGCATCTTCTTCTTCTCCGTCTTCTTCCTCTTGTCGCGGCTGTACTTCTCCGGGTGCGCCACGGCCTCGATCTTGCGCTTGCTCGAGCGCGCCTGCCTGCGCGCCTTGACCTCCTCGCGGATGGCGAGCAGCTGTTTGGTGTACTCGGCCGTGCCAAATTTCTTCTGCAGCGCGTCCATGAGGATCTGGGCGCGCGTCTTGAGGGCGTCGTGCTTGGTCTTGAAGCCCTCGTCCAGCGAAAACGGCGTCGACGCGTGCGGGTCCGTGATGGCCTGCAGCGGGAACAGGATCGTCTTGAGCGACGGCGCCAGGTTCTCGTCCGGCACCCGTCGGCACACCGTCTCGAGCACCTCCATCGCCACCACCTTGGGCACCATGCCCATCGACGTTGACTTGACGTCCTGCCGCAGGATCGACGACAGCTTCCAGAAGAGGTACTGCAGGTCCTTGCCGCGCTGCTCGAGCCGCGAGTCCTCGGCCTCTTCCTCATCACCTTCCGCCAGCGCCTCGGCCGTCGGGCCCTCGTCGCGCGTCCGCGCTTGGAGACGGGGACCGAGGAAGATGAGGATCTGCGTCACCTCGTTGGCGAAGGCCTCTTCGATCTCGGGCGCCCGCAGCGTGCCGAGCGCCAAGCTGACGAGATCCTCGACGTCGTCGCTCTCGAGCTCCATGCCGTACGAGCCCTTGAGCGCCTCGCCTGCCTCTGCTGCCTCGCCGGCAAAGTCTGTGAGGAACGAGCTGAGAAGTTTGACAGCGCTCAGCTTGACCGACGGTTCGGGGTGCGCCATGCAGCCACGGAGATCAGCCCATAGTTCGGCTGAGTCGGCCGAGAGAATCTCCTCTGGGTATGTCTGGGACAGGACCTGCGCGACGTGCAGCGCATTGTTGACCAGGTCCTCGGGCGCCACACGGATGTCTCCGTCACCCACGATGCCGGCGACCTTTTCGACGACGAGCTTGAGCTCCTTCTTGTCCTTCTCAGACGGCTCCCTGGCTTCGAAGAAGAAACCAAACGCCTGAATAGCGAGACTCAAGACGGCTGGGTTGTCGTCCTGCTCGAGCCAGGAACGGAGAAGCGTCACGAAGTTGCGCATGCGCTCCTTGTCGGCGCGGCGGAAGATCTCCTTGACAAGCTCGCCAGCTGCCAGACGACACTTTTCCGAGTCGTCGTTGGCGACGACGAAGATGAGAGGCAGGAAGCAGGTCGCAGCGATCTCTTGAACAAAGTCGTCGGAAGACTTCTTCAGCAGGAGATGGACAATCTCCATGACGGACAGCCTGCCGCCCTCTCTGTCGTACTTAAGGTTGGCGACCACAAAGTTAAGCTGCTTCGCCCATCGGGCCTTCTTCTGGGGGTACTCCCTTAGGAACTGGAAGAAGGCGCCGCGTGCCAGGTCACGGGTGTCCTTGTCGTCGTTGGTGATCATGACCGTGCCGACATGGTCCAGAGTGTCATAGACGTTTGCGGTCTCAATCTTGCGGTCGAGGACAGACCGCAAGAAGTTGAACGTGATGTGGCGGTACAAAGGCTCCGTGAGGTCCTCCTTGACCTTGCTCAGAAGCATGTCAACAGCAGCGTCCTTGACCACGACATCGCGTCGGTCCCGAAGCACAACGGACAACAGCTTCAGCGCCGACTGGGAGAGCTCAGAGGTTGTCGTCGGCGAGAGTGAGATGGCTTTTGTAGCCTCCTTTGTCGCGACCTTGTAAAGACCAGTAGCATCATCCGTGCTGAACGGCACCTTGGACAGGGCATTGAGCAGCTTGAACGCGGCAATCTTGACATCATCCTCTCCCACGACGACCGCGTCACCAAGAATCGGCACGAAACCACTGATGTTCGTTTCGTTACGCAGGCTATCGTACTTCTTCCAGACGGCGCGAAGAATGTCAAGCGCAAATTTGACGAGTTTGTACGTGTGTTTGGTGTTGGCCTCCCGATCGCTCTTCCTGACACCCTTCTGGTACAGGTATTTCTTGAGCCTCGGGTCAATCTTGGCTTCGGCTTCGGGCTTCTGGCTCTTGTAGACATCCTGCACAACTTCGTAGCAGAATACGAGCGTGTCGCGGCTTTCGGCGGCGGGGTTCTGCAGAAGGCCAGTCGTGACGCGCATCAGGAGACTGTCGATCTTGCGGACCATCTTGAGGTTGACCTTTTGCAATAGGAGCGATCGGAGAGGGTGGATAAGGTCCGTCAGGCGGCTCACGGACGCAGTCTTGGCAATGAGCTCCATCGAATCTTGACTCTTGCTGGCCTTGACTTCCTTCAGCTGGCTGATGTAGCCCTCTGCGTCCTTCTCCTGACCTGTAACACCAAAGATATCATCAATGATGACCGTGACAATCGACGGGAGACAGTAGTCAATGTCGCCCTGCTCAAACTCGGGAATGACCTTCAGAAGCATGGAATGCATGGTGTAGGACAGAACGTGCAGCTGGTAGCCTCGCTTCAGCGCGCCGCGCAGTTCCTTCAGAATGAAACCAAAGTATGGGGCACCAAGGATGCTCGCAATCTCGACCAACGTGTCGCGGGCCAAGTCTCGAGATTCCCAGTTCTTGCTTCGCAGAATGTGGCAGATGTCGGTGAGGACACCAGCCAACCGTTGGCTCATCTGCTGTTGAGGCAGGAGCTTCATGAGCTTGACGATGATGATACCGACAGGTACACGATAACTGACTTCCGAGTCGTCTTTTTGGTGAAGGTACTTGATCATAGACGGCAAGAAGTTGTTGGTCAAATCCTTGGCAAGGTTCTCGCGAGGCATAGTGAGAGCAAGACGCTTCTGGGCGGCTTTGCTCTCCGCGTCATCAACTTGCATTGCTTCTCCATCTCTTGTCGCCGAAGCAAGTACTAGAGCATCGGCAACCTTGGCGAGGAGACGGATGATGTGCTTCTGCTGCTCGGGCTTCGATTCGACAAAGCCTATGTATCGCTGCAGCACAACGCGGTAGTGCTTCCAGTCGAGAGACGCAACGAGAGTGCCGATTGTGAGCGAAGCCTGGGCTCCGAGGCCGTGATCATCGGCACCTTCGGCTCGACCAAAGATGAAGTGCTCCAGAATCGGGATGAAGAAGTGGTAAAGGTTTTGACTGCTGAACTCGTGGGCTTCGTTGGCAGCGACTAGGATCTCGAGAGCCTCCATCTGTCGCGATGTGGCGGGACTCAGGATGTTGAAGAAGAAAGCTGGCTCAGAAGGTTCCTCGTCGTCCTCGTTCAGAAGACCCTTGAGGTCAGCAACCGACTCCCATGTCGGCATCTGTGAAACAAGGAAGCCAAAGACACGCAGAGTCTCTCGCCTAACAGTTGAAGAAGACTCGCGGGCGCCGGAGTACAGTGCTGGCAGGACAATCTTGGACATGTGAGAGTAGAATGCTTCCCTCGGCACCACATCTTCTGTCGAAGCCACTTCCTGGATGAAGGTACGTAGTCCGTCGGCCGAGTTGGAAGTCAAGATGCCGAATTCTTCGTCTTCTCGAATGAAGTACACGAGGTTGTGAAGCAGAGGAAGCCATTGCCTGGCGTTGAATGCGTCGGTCTTGCCAGACACTTGGTTGAACCCCTGCAGGCGCTGGTCGTAGTCGGGCTCCTCGATTCGCTCGGGCACAAAGGCGTTGATGGCACTGCAAATGCCAGCCACCTGGTCGAGGGCGGTGTCCTGTTTGGACAAGATGATGAGGAGTCGGCATAGGGATTCCCTATTTTCCTTGTCTTTGAAGTAGCTGAACAGCGCAGACACAGTCTCAAAGATGGTTGTGAAGAGATCGCTTGTGGGTCCGAGATCGACGCCGTTGGCTTCGTGCAGCGTCACGAATTGCTCCAAGATGAGCAGAATTTGACCCTTGGCTCGAGGGTTGACCTTTCTGGCGGGCTGGTTGAGGAGGAAGATTGAGATTTGCAAGACCTCGTGGACGTTCTCCGATGTTTCCACGAGAGGCGAGATCTCAACGACAGTTTCGAGGCATGCGTCGAGAAGGGCACCGCCGGTCGTCTCTGCTTTCAAAGCAACAGTAATGTGCTTCAGCAGGAAGTCAACGTTGGGGCCGAGCAGTTCTGCGTAGATGAGCTCGTTGAACTCCGACTCGGTGGGCGAGGCTTTGGAAAGCTTGATGAGGTTACGGACAATGCCCAGGCAGAAGACCTTGACCTCGTCTTTGCTCTTTGCAACCGAGACGCACTCGATGATCTTGGGCAGGATGTCCTTGTTGATTCCGAGGAAGAGAGCCGACTTGGGAAGCTGAGACCAGATGGAGAGAAGTTGCAAAAGTCCAGAAACACCTTGAGTGTTTTCAAGCGGAAGATTCGCGACTCTGGGTGTAACGATCTCGGCAACAATGGGCTCGGAGTAACGATCCCAAGCGTATTCGGGCGCATTGCGGAAGAGGGAGATGAGGCACTTGAGGCCGGTAGTGCGAACAACCTTGAGGAGCGACTCATGCGTGGCCTCCTTGTCTTCCTCATCCGATTCGGTCTCAACTTCGGCAGCCAAGTCATGCAGCTTGCGGCAGGCATTAATGAGGCAGTAGAGAACGGCGTTAAGAATCGTTTCGATGTAGGGTTCAACATCGGTTCCGAGTTCGTTGATGAGGGGGAGCATCATGTTGAGGAAACCGACCTGCTTCCGCGGTGGCATGATCTCTCCATCGAGGACATTGTCACGGAGACCAGACTCATCAATGACAGAAACTCCCTTCAACTTGCCGACGGCAATGTTTAAGAAACCACCCAAGTCTTCAGGAGATAAGTTTCTCAACACCGCGAGACGTGTAGCCTGCAAGCCGTGCCGCCCACTTGCGGCGCCCTTCTTAGAAATCGTCCTGCCGTAAAGCAGTCTCAGGAGGACAGGCATCAACTCAGCCCGATGCTCAGTCTTGATCGACTGCTCGCCTTGCATGAGAACAGTCAGCTCGTTCTTGAATCTTGCCTCGTCCAAGAGGTACTCGAGGTTCTCCTGGTAGGCGCGGACACCTGCTTGCTTCCATGCAAGAATGGCCTTGAGAGCTGACTTTTGCACCTCTATATCACCGTTCTCCATCAGATGAAGCAGCGCCCGGTACACCCTCTCGCTCTCATAGAGGGACCGCGGGTTGATGAACTGATCGAAAACGCCGAGCATGCCCTTGCGGTCGTAGAAAGACCACGTTTCGGCACCGGAGGCATGCTCTTTGTCCTCCTCTTCGGAAGAGGCCTGATTGTCGCTGGAGACTTCGGGCTCGGCGGCCCACGACAGGAAATACGGCACCAGCTTGCGAGAGCGCTTCTCAGCAAGGGCAGGCATGGCGGCAAGGACTTTCAGCGCCTGAGAACGGGCATTTGCCGGGCGCGTGTCGACAGTTTGTTGTTGCTTATCAAAGGACTCGAGCATGAGATCAAGGGCATTCTCCGCCGTCTGGTGAATCTCGTCGGCTTGGCTTACGAGATGCTGCAGGTTGGTACAGTCAAAGTCGGTGAGCGCAGCGCGACGATGGGCTGCGGGGGGGCCACCTGGACCGGAACCTCTTGTGGAAGGCACGTCGAGCCAGTCAAGGGCTAGAGCAAGGAGTGCCTCTTCGCCTTCCTTGGTCTCCCCAATCTGCTTCATGGCGGATGTCGCATCGTTCCAGAGCGGTGTGAGCTTGAGAGTCATCATGCCAAACATGAAGGATGGGATAGCTTGGCGGAGCCACGAGCCCTCGGTTAGTGAAGCATAGGTCTGGCCGAGTTTGCGGATGTACATGGCGAGATTTCGGAGGGTCGCTAGCTCAAGGGGGGAGCTTTCGATGTCGGTCATGACCTCCAGGCAGCAGAGCTCATCGGGAGTCGAATCGAGCTGCCCGAGGATCCTCAAGGTGGCGAGTCGTAGGTCATGAGATGGCGATGACAGGTTCTCGATGAGCGCTTTGACAACCGGGTTCGTTTCGGTTCCTGAACCCTCACTGCTGCTGCTGCTGTCTCGGCGCTCGGTCGACGGCTGGTCTTTGGTAGCTTGCTGGTAGGCAAGATAGGCCTCGAGGAACCCGATGGATTTGCTAAACCTTGGCAGCGCTGCTCGAAGCAGGGGTTTTAGGCCAGGATCCACGGGACCAGCCACCTTGCACATGCGAAGGTACGCGAGGAAACCCTGGCTGACACTGAAGTGGACTTCGTCGGACGCCAGAGTCGATGTAGGCCTCAGCGCGAGCTTGAGCTTTCGGAGGAGCAGATCGGCTAGCTTAGCCGTGGCGAAAGGGCGGACAGTGGTGCTGTCAAGAAGATCCAACAGTATCGAGTATTTCGGAAGACACCTGTCTCTCCACGTCTGCGGGTCCTTGTCATAAGTTCCACGCTCAGGAAAGGGCGAGGCCTCCAGACGCTCGAACTTTTCCACAATCTGGCCCTCCCATGTCTGGGGCAACATGAGGGTTTCCTTATCACCAGGGGCCGGCAAGCTGTGCGCCTTGACCATCTTCGGTAGGAAGATGCACAGTTCGTCATCATTGTGTCCATCAGACCAGTGGCTGTTGATGAACTTCTTGAAGGGATCGCGGAACAAGCTGCGGAACCGCTGGGGATCCAACTCTGAAAAGTAGGCGCAGAATGGGATGAACCACCGCATCAAGGGGTCCCTCTGCATCGCGTTCATGAAATCATTAATTTGCGAGAAGAGGGCATCCATCGGAGCGGCGTGCCAGACCACGGCAGCATTGGCGACCACGTGCTTCCACACGAGACTACTGTCGGCAGGAGAAATCTCGGGTCCACGCTTGGCAGTCAGGTCGAGCATGGTGACCAGAGTCCGCACGAGGGCTGACCAGTTGTTGACTCGCTCTCCACTGCGCACGCCCGCGGCGGTTGCGATGATCCTGATCAGTGGCACAAACCTCCAGGGCTGATCCTGTACCTTTTGCTCCAGCGCGTAATCCGCTTCGGCCTGGATGGCCTCGAGCATGGGTGGGAACGTGTCGGGGGTTGTGTGATGAATTACACTGGTGAGAACGCCACAGATGACATCGGTCCAGGGTGTGTTTTGCGCCAGGTTGAGCTCGTACTCGGGCACGGCACGGAGGAGGGCCTTGAAGATGACGGGACCAGTCGAGTGCATGGTCTGGCCGGTGCCCTTGATGGCCTCAGCAAACATGGTCATGAGGCCGTCCTGATACAACTGAAATTGCCTTTCACCCGACATGCTGAGCAGATCGTCTCGAGCATGTTGAATAATGTCGACCAGGGCCGTCTCTCGATTCGCGGGCGCCGCGGCCTTCTTGATGAGGAAGCTGGTGGCCTCGGCGGCGAACCGGGCAATGTAGGGCGGGTGTCGGGTCTTGCCGAAGAGGGGTGCAAGAACGTTGTAGGTAGGTCGGATGTCAGGGACGATTAAGCGTGAGAGGTATTTGAAAAGGAATGCGAGGGCAGCGAATGTGAATTCGACAACCTCCACAGGCTGTGGCTTGCCGGCAATGGCAACGATGAGGTCTAGCGATCGGGCATAGTACTTCTCGAAGCGGGTTCCGAGATCGTGGGCGAACGCCGTCAGGAGGTCGAGAAGAGGCTCCAAGGACTCCTTCTCCTGGTTGGAAATGTAGTGGGACAGCGAAGCAAAGATCCTGTCCTCGTGATGCAGGATCGAGGCCAGTGTTTCTGTGAGGGACAGAGTCTCTCGCTTGAAAGAGATGAAGTCCTTGGCAATGTTGAGTTCATTCCATCGCTCGATGCCGGTACGAAAGTAGGATGTAGTGCTCTCGAGGTCTTCGGTTTCGAGGTCGTGTCGTCGCACTTTTCGGAGGGGATCGAGACTGTGCAGCTTGCCAATCTTGGTGCTGAAGGACTCCCATCGGTGGTTCTTCTGATGGGGAGTCAGGTTCTTGCCCTTGCGGGCTTTTGTGATCCTGCCCGATGATACCGCAGGCATGGTGGCGGTATTACTGGGGGAGGAAGCAGGTCGGTGTCGAGACTGACTTGCGAGGACGTTGGCGTGCTCACGTCGCCTCTGGATCGCGAACTCGAGGGTCCCCGCCGTTTCGGTCGTCTTGGACAAAAAATTTGGGTTGATCTCTGCTGATAAGCTGATAAGAGAGACTTCGATAAGGCCGAGGTGCGATAAAGCTAAAATTCCGGGTTGCAGTGGGCTGCAGCCAATGAACGTGCCGTCGCAACACAGCTCTGAGAAGCGAAGCCTGACCCCATCGACGTCAATTGGTTTTCACCTCGTCGACCCCCCCATGAACAACCTGCCGACAGCCACGACAATCACAGCAGGAAACCCCCCCAGAGCCAGGCAATATGGCTGCTCCGAAGGTGTCAGTACCTCCCTTGCTCCATCGGAATCCCCTCTTCGTTCTTTCATGAGCAGTATTGACGACCTTTAGACTCGTGTTTGGTGCCCTCAACGGCGCGCTCAAGCCTGCCTTCACGAAGGCTGCCACCTTGCACTCCAAGAACAAGTTCGACTTCGCCATCATTTCCGGCAACCTCTTTGCCGAATCTGACGATGAAACCGCAGCTTCCCTACTCAACGGCGAGATTGCTGTGCCTCTTCCGACCTATTTCACTGTCGGCACATCCGCCCTTCCCGCTGCCATCGTTGCCAAGATCGAGGCCAACGAGGAGATATGCGAAAACCTACACTTCCTCGGCAAGCGCAGCGTCACCAAGACTACAGATGGTGTTCGTATCGTGGCGCTCGGCGGAAACCTCGATCCGGAGATTTTGGGGGGCACATCTAAGGAACAGCACCTTCCCTTTCACACAGGTCACGACGCGAAGACGCTCAAAGGCGCGGGCCAAGCCGATATCCTGCTGACAACCGTCTGGCCTGCCGGCGTCTGGACCGGATCCAAGACCGCCCTTATCCCCGAGAACCAGGCCCTCATCACCAGCACACAGGAAGTCGCAGACCTCTGCGACGCGTTGCGACCTCGTTACCACTTTACGGCGTCGCCTGCCGAATTCTTCTACGAGCGTGAGCCCTTCTTCCACATGCCCAAGGAAGGCTCTGAAGAGCGCCCGGTGACCCGGTTCATCTCCATGGCACCCTACGGCAACGCAACCAAAGCAAAGGCCATGTATGCATTCACCCTATCTCTGGGTTCGACATCGCTCGACCAACCTGCCGGCACTACGGCCTCGCCGTTCGCCGCCAGGGCACCGAAGCGGAAGCCCCTAGACGACGCCCCCTACAGCCGTTTCGCCGATAGCCACGACGGCAAGCGTCACCGCGGAAAGCGCGGACGCAACCGCTCGCCGCCTCCCGGTCCGGAGCGCTGCTTCTTCTGCCTGTCCAACCCGAATCTCTCCCTCCACATGGTGGCCACCATTGGCGAAGACAGCTACCTTGCTACCGCCAAGGGGCCGCTCGCCAAGCCAACGACGTTCACCGAGCACGGCATCAACTTCCCCGGCCACATCATCATCACGCCCATGGCGCACACCCCGACCATCGCGAGCACGAGCGCCGAGAGCTACTCGGCAGCCGATGCGCAGCGGACCCTCGACGAGATGACGCGCTTCCGCGAGTCCCTCCAGGCCATGGTCGCCGCCCAGTCCGGCCACAAGCTCGGCGCCATCACGTGGGAGATCAGCCGCGGCCGCAACATCCACAGCCACTGGCAGTTCCACCCCGTGCCGGCCGACCTCGTGCAGAGGGGCCTCGTCGAAGCCGGTTTCCGTGTCGAGGCCGAAAACAGCAAGTACCCGGCCCTCGAGGCCCGCGACCTGCCGACGCTCGAGAGCCAGCAGGCCGCCGGCGACTTCTTCCGCCTCTGGCTGTGGGCCGACAATGGCGACGACCGTATCAAGGGCACGTGTCTCGTCATGCCGCTGCCCGACGGGCCCGACGCGCCGCGCTTCGATCTCCAGTACCCTCGCCGCGTCGTTGCCAAGCTCCTTGGCCTGGAGGACCGCTTCGTCTGGCAGGACTGCGCCCAGACTGAGAACGAGGAAAAGGCCGACGTCGACGCTTTTCGCGAGGCCTTTCGCGAGTGGGACTTTACGCTACCACCCGCAACAGCATAGTTTGTTCCTCCAGTGGTGCCTACCTACCTAGGTACTAAGCACTGAGTACGCGGGGGTGAATGGCCTAGCAGTAAGCGACCCCCGCTGGATCATAGCACGCGGCGTTTTGGGAGAAGGGAAGGGAGGGGGGGGCCAAGATCCTAATGCATCAGCCCCGAACGGCGTTCAATAAGGGGTGAATCTTAAAAAAAGGGAGTGGGCGGGGTGTGGATAATAACCTTCCCCCCCAAGAATCGGTGTTTTTCTTTTCCTCCTCATTGCACATGTGCTTCATTTTTGCCAATGGGAAACAATGCATGGGCTTTCTTACTCTCACGTCGCGGACACATTGCTCTGACGCAAAATAAAACCGCATTTGGACGCGGCAGTACTCGGCGCTACTTTGGGCGTGTGTGCAAGGACACAAGACGCACGCCACCTTGGGCCTTAACGCGCAAATTCACGTCTAAGCACTTGCATTTCTAGTTGTGAATTATTTTGCGTGTTGGTGCATGGAACGGTGGCGTCGTGTAAGTTCGCTGTGATCCTGCATCTGAATCGACCCGCCTCGGCAGCTGAGACATGGGGTCAATAAGATCTCCCCCGACCCCGACCAACGCGCGCTGGCTATGGAGGAGTGGACCCCCGTGGCGATATATATCGTGGATTGCCTTTCCGCATCCGGCGATAACGTTTGCCATACATACCCTCGGGGATAGTAGACAATTCACGCCTTGAGTATTGTCAACGGGTCTTGGACGCCGCTTGGGGTAAGATCTCTGTGATCGAGCATGCATGTTATTCATAGCGAGCAGGGTACCAATCCTTAAAGTGCCCGGTGGATAGACTTCTTGGTCTGACTGGCCTATGCATTAATTGAATGACACAACATGCCACTCGTTGTTCGCGTAGGTCACAAGTCACAGTATCACATCGCGGCAAGCACTCCTGGTTATGCGATAGTTCCTCAATTCAATACAGAGTGATGGCCAGCTCGTCAAGTGATCCGTAGACCGTCATCCCATGACACCAATTGCCACAGAAGTATTGTACAGGAAAAAGGCAAGGGCGTCTCTGCCCTTGCTTGACAGAGCAAAAATAGGTTGCGAGTAGCCAGTGGTCTTATCCACCAGGGTCAGCAGCCTAAAGGGAAGGTGACATGCCAGACCAAAACCGCATTCCTTCATATTTGCCCCTTGCTGGGTCAGACTCTGCACTGTACGTTGGTGTATACCAACGTCGAATGTCGATCTCGCGCCAATGGAGGCGGGTACGACCTGAGGGTTTGTCATTGTTGTTTTTTGTTTCTTGTGAGATGTCGTTAAGGAATAAGCGTCGTGGGACGTTCGCATCCAGCAGAGGATGCGAGATGTGTGTGGTATCATGGGTCGACCAGGTCGAGAAGGGCTGCTAGGAGTAGCCCGTGGTTAGGAGTAAACAACTCAAAACCTCTTGCAGAGGTTGGCAGGAGATTCCTGGCCAAGAGACGCGAACGTCGCGAGTTGAAAGCCGCGACTGGATCAAGCGTCGAAGATGTTCGCTCCACCTTTGAATCGGTGTCGACCGTCGGTAATAGAGACAAAGAAGAAGAAGAAAAGCAGAAGATGCGTGAACACGACGAGGAGCCAATCGCAGATTCCGGATCCAAAAATGGACTCCTTAGCAAGGAGGCAATGCAGATGCCGAGGACAGTATGCCAATGCGTCTAGTGCCGGCAAAGTGCTCATGAAAGAGTCTTAATTAGCGTAGGGTGATCATTTCGAACGCAATCAGGCAACGCTTCTTTTGCTAGCCGCGATGGAAGACTGTCAAAACGCGAACGAGCAGAACGAACGAGGGCCAGTATGTGCAGGGAGAAGAGGCGGTATGAACACGGTTCAGGCTGCTGGTAATATGCCCTATTAAGGGTTCGCTCGGAAACGGCTCTTCACACCGTCCCGAGGAATATAGGGAGCTCGACGGAAAAAACGTCGCTCAAGCCGATTGGGAGAGTGAGGTGACCCATCTGCTTGGCAGAGACGAGCGACTCCGTTCGTACTGCAGACGAAGGAGCGCAGATTGTGGTGGCTTAGTATGAAGCCATCCGCCTCGAGTGAGCGTACGAACGTTCACCCAGGATAGGGGAGTTTCCAATCATGGCAATCGGATCTTGGCGGATCGTGAGACGAGGTCTCGAGACAGGAGGAGCGGTAGGTGACTGATCGACACAAGACTCACGCTGCCCAAAGGCGAAGGTTTGCGCGCGGCCGAGGCCCTTGCGGCCATTCTTGAGACGGCCGAGCTCGCGCTCACAAGTGCGCTGGTGGTTCTCATCAGACATCTCGACATAGTTGGGAGGGTAGCAGCGCGCGCGGTGCGAGTCGAAGAAGCCGCTGTATCCGCCCTCGAGGATGTATACATCGGGATAGGTAAGTCTGGGGTAGTGCTCTACATTCGCGAGGCGGTCCTCGGACCGAACGTGGCGAGCCATCAGAGGTGCACGGTGAGCCGAGTACTCGCAGTGAAAGATCAATAGTGACCGTCCCTTCATAGGAGTCCTGAACAGGTGAGACGCCAAGAGATCTTTGCTGTTGTAGTTGACAGCGCCATCAATGTGGCCACCATCGTACTCGTACTCGAAGCGGCAGTCAATGATCATCTTCTGGTCATAGTGCTCGCTGTACTTGCCATCAAGCACGTCCACCATCGTCTCCTTGGAGATTCTCGGGATCGCGTCGGAAGGGTCTTCCGCGGCGTAGTGCGGCAGAACGGCTTCGGGCACACTCTCGACATCGGAGACAGACTGTAACTCGGTAGCGACAGTAGACGAGCTGTCTTCGGCCTTGGGCTTCATGATATCAGCCGGGTGCTCAAACATGCTCAGGGAGCGGCGGAACTGCTTGCGGGGGCGCATGAAAGGGTTGGAGGGGCGTCTGCTGT